GCCTTTTTCCTTTTCTTTTTTATTTTTACCAGCATTTAGGTTATTAAGAGAACAACACTGAGTAGCAGCTTCAGTGCTGAGTAAATCTTGAATGTCAGTGTGCTTTTTTGGTTTTGGAACATCAGTCAGCCTGGGTGCTTTGCTGTAACTTCCTTAATGTCGAGTTGCTACCTGGACACATACCACATATAAAAAGAAGGAATACAATGGAAAAACAAAATGTCATGAAACAAAAGGTATTCTTAGGAATGACGATTTCTGGAGTAATTTGTTGTATACAAATGTTCAATGAAAACCAAAGAATTGGACTTCATAATGTTCTGTGCCTTCTTAGCTGCAGGCTAAGTAGCCTACGATCTAGATTAAAAATGCGAACCGTAATATTTATTTTTTTTCCTAATAGTTGGTCTAAATTACAGCAGTTGCTCCGTTTATTAGTTTTCTAAATAGACTATTCAGATTGCGTGTATAAACCTACAAAGGTTTATACAAAACAATGTGTGCCTGTAGGTAGTTCCAAGGGATGGACTTGTCCTTATGCAGTATGACCAATGTAATATTCCAGACTGTGCTGTCTGGCTTTAAATTTCTAAAAACACCTTCAGGGACACATTTTCTGAGGGTCTTGGGAGAAGAAGGTATTGGTTTAGAACATTGTATCTTTCTCATCCTTGTAATTTGCAAGTTTAATGAAGACATTCTTCAGTGAAATTTTTGTGCAAAGTTTCATTAGGACACTTTATTGTATTTTTGTTGTCATAATTTCAAAAAGGGAAGTAGGTCTTTAGAGGCTTTCTGCTAAAAGAGATCATGCGTAATCTCAAAAAGTCTCCTTAAAGCTGCAGATGTTGAGAAACGGTTCCATATGAAGTTGACATGCAATTACCTATTTTTCTCTAGCACTTTATCTCTCTCTAATGATACAGTCCTCAAATGTAAAGAACAGATTATTGTTGTATGCAATTTAGGGATCCTCTTGAGATAATTTTAGTGAGCTCAAGTTCTTAAGTGTAATCAGCTGCACAAGCTGTGGTTGCTAGCTAGGCTTTCAGCCTGTGTAAAATTTCTCTTACTGGGTTGCATCCTGGGGCAGGAAATCATGTTTGCATATGCTTCATAGTGATAAATCTGAGTTACTGTAATAGTGTTCCTTCTCTTAGCTTCACTGTCTTACCAAGGGACATTATCTATGTAGATGAGTTTCAATCAAGCTACTGAATTTTAATCAGCTTTTGTCTTGAGTGAAAAAAATGTCATATGTATCCTAATAGCTGTTTCAGTAACTGTTATGTCCTTGCCTTTTTTGACAGCCCCATGTTCAGCCATGGCTTATCATCATGACAGCAGAAGAATATTTGTAGGCCAGGATAATGGAGCTATCATGGTAAGCTGCTGTGACTTTTCTTCAGAATTTAGATTAGAATTGCTTAGATTGTCTGTTAGCACCAGGTGCTGCTGGCAGCTGATAATTCATTTTCTTTCCTTTGTTTTTGGAATGCAACTACTACTGAACGGCTGAACTTCTTGACAGTTCATCTGAGATGTACATGGGAGGACTGCAAATTAGCAGGGGTTCTTGTGGCTAGATGTGAGCCAGCTACCCTCAAGAAGTCGTTGAGCCATTAGTGTAGCAGTGAGTGAACACAAACAATTATCCTTCATCAAGGAATTATTTTGAGGAGTACATTAAGCTGGGAAGAGTGCCGTAGTGGTGCACTAACAGTGGTTGTGAACTGTAGCTACCTTGCATCTGGCCAGAAGTATGGATCTGCCTGTATCTTGCCATGCACATGTCTCTGGATTCTCTTGCTGCAGATCTTTTAATAATATGGAAATTTCAACACTGCCTCTAAAATGACAAGAGGCAGGACTGGTTTCTTTCTTGGAATTCTTCTGCCTTTCTATACTGTCATTGTAATTGCTCTCACTCTCCTGGTGAGCAGATACATATGGCAGAATAGAATGTGGGTCTGTATTCTTCCCCTCTTTCCTTGGCAAAAGAGAGGAATCGTGACTCTCAGATGCTTTAATGGTTTCCTTTCTCTATGAAAATAAGGTCAAAATCATAATTGTCCTATAAGGAAGGACCCAGGGTACTGCATGAGTGTCGTAAATAGTGATTCTACTGATAAGTAGGTGTGAATTGTCTACACAGAACTACAGAGAATAGAGGTTCTAGTGACAACTACTTGAAATTGTAAGCAGAAACTTTTAAAATTTCAGTAATGGGTCAAATAGAAAGTACTCTCACTTAAATCTGTCCATTATGAAGTCTCGGATACATAAATCCTAAATACTACAAGGTACAGTTTTGTTTGTTCCTGCTAGGGCCAAATGAGATCATATGTCTTCCTGTACTCTCCTTTTAGCAAACTTGATACTGAAAGGATGCTCGCTATTGAAAATGTAGTTCACTAATGCCTTTAATTTACAGTTGGTGTGTCAGTGCGCTATGCTTAAGCCTCAGAAACTGCTAGGTTTTGGTGAGATATGCATGATATTTGCTATGCAAATTCTAGCCTTTGAGGTTACTGTTCTTTTTTTGGGTATCAATATTGCTTATGTTACTATGGTATCTTTTCTAATGGTTCCACTTTGCTTTTAGGAGTTTCATATTTCAGAAGACTTTAATAAGATGAACTTTGTGAAGACTTATCCAGGTAAACTGTTAACCACTGTCTACACTCAGATTTATGTGAAGAGGAGACATCTAAAATGCTTGGGAAACAGGACACCATCACAGATTAATCAAGTCCGAATATGCTTTAAGTCTGACTGACCTTCTAGTTGTCACTTAGTTGGGGATAACTGCCATAAGAAAAATGTTCTGTTACTGAGTAATCCTCCGTCAGTTGAGGATGTAATCATTATCAGTAAGTTCAGTACATCATTAGTCTGTGAGTGTAATGAGCCAGAACTAGTGAGCTCATCTTTTGCTCTTCAACTGATGTTATATTGCATGAATGTTAGGGTAAGAGTTTTCTAAAGGTGTGTATTGGTATTTGCAATTTTCATCCTTTCTGTATTCTCTGGGCTTGGTTACTTCTAGCTGAAGATAAAGAGTCCTTGCCTTCTCTGTCATTTTAGGAGAGCAACAGGGATGAAAAAGATCTCATTTTTCTGGTACATGGGGAATAGGGATTATTCTTCTAATATTTATGGAGATGCTAATTTCAGTGTTTGCGCATCCTTAAAAGAAATGCAAAACTCCATTGCTGGTTAAAATTGGAATATTCATGTGAAAGGCCTGAAGGAGACTCTTAAAGACTGCAGATTATGTAGCGAAACAAAGCACAGTTTGTCTTATGACTCCCTGACACTGATAGAAGCAATGTTCTTGCTTAGGAGAAAAAGACCTTGTTCTTAAAGCAACAAAACCCCCCTTTATCCTAGGGAAGATGACTTGACAGCTCAGTCAAGGAAACTACTTGCATCTTGGGGGCAGGGGAGCTTCTTTCTAATGCTTGTGTAACTTCTTGCTTAGTGGCAGCTTTCTAAACAGAGTTGGGTGGGATTTGGTTGCTATCACAAGTAGCAGTTTGAATGCCATGGACTAGATACACTTTTAGATGCTTAAAAGCATGAATCTGAGCATAGCTCCCCTGGGGTCAGGAGAAAGAGGCACTTAAAGAAAGCAATTAAGATTTTTAATATGTTACATTACTCCCCAGAAGCCCTGGCCTAACTAGAGGAAGCTGAGGATTTGCCTGCTCCTTAACCAGAGCATCTTGGGTATCTGGGCTGAACTCAGTTTCTGTCTCTGTGGGAGAAAGGCTTAAATTAGCTGACTGCCATGTTTGGTTCACTTAAGCTGTTCAGAAGGCAACTACCAAACAGAACAATGTTAACCTTTTAATTCGGCCTAGAGGCAAGTACAATATAACTGTAAAAACATCTCCCTGGGGCATTGCTTAGATATCATCTTCAACCTGCGTCTCTCGGAATTAGAACATAAGAACATATCACTTTGATTTTTAGAAAAACTAGCCAGAATCCTATTCTTCCCACAGCTCATCAGAATCGAGTGTCTGCTATTACTTTTTGCCTGGCATCAGAGTGGGTTATCAGCACCGGTCATGACAAGTGTATCAGCTGGATGTGCACCAGGAGTGGGAGTATGTTGGGAAGGCATTACTTCACCTCTTGGGCTTCATGTCTACAGTATCCTTTGAAAAATTATTGGGACCCTGAAACTGGAAGAATAGTTTGTTCCTTTAGCTAATTTGTTCCCTCCTTTTCATGTAAAAAGCTAGAGTGAAATATCTTGCAACTCTGCAAACCTGATTAGATGTTTAATACCTTTATTTCTGTTAGCTGTTGTTAGTTAGTAGGAAGGGGATGTTGTGACCTTGAGTTACAGAAATAACAGTATGTACTAGTTCCTAATTTTGAAATGTTTGTCTGTAGTATCTTGTGGAAGTGTCTAGTAAATATCTATAGCCTGGCATGTATACTTCCTAGGCAAGTCACTTTGTTCAACAGATGACAGTTGGTGTTTGAGTCCTTCTAGAGCATAAAACATCATGAAAATCCTTTGGACTGCTTTCATTTTTCTGTGCTTGCTCATGTTAATCTTATCCATCTTTAAGCTGTGGGGTACTCTGAAACTTTATTCTTTACTAGTAGCAATTTCTCTGTGTGCAGTTTGCTTTCCTGCAGATTGCTTTTAACAGCAACATTTGTAGTTTAAGAACTCCAGTTATCTATTCAGCTGCAAGTACTTCAAGGCATTCTTTATCTTATGTAAAAGACTTACAAACCCAGTAGCTTAAAATGTAGTTCATATATCAAAACTCTTGAGCATGAATTAAATAAATTCTAAAACTATTTTTAGCACTTGTTAGTGGTGGCAGTTTAGATGTGGCTGTATAGGAACTGGAGGGACTGGTTGGTGTATAAAGATTAATGGCAGCAATGCAGAAGTGGCAAGATTCAAAAGCTGAACTATATCTCTTGGAAAAATAAAGACCTCTAGAATTGTTATATACCTGTGTAGTGTGAAGAAACTAAGAGGAAAGCTAACTGCTTGGTTGCCAGCAGCAGGTCTAGCCTTCTGAGGTTTCACATCTGTGCAGACCCTGCCATGCTGACTGACAGGTTGGTGTTGTTGCACTGTTCCTCTTTTTTGCTGTCCTTTGAGGTTCTGTCCCACAAAATATTTCATGTACGCCTCATCTCAGCTGCATACAGCACAGAGTGGGGTCAATACTGATCTGTGAGTGTTAGGAGAATAGCTCATAGAACAGTCTGGTGCCTCTGAGCCTCACTATTTGAATAGTTAACACTATTGCAAATAATGGAACAGTTTGTTATGAAAATGGAGGAAAGAATATGACCTTTTCTATTAAGATAAAAATAAATTTCCACTGAAGACTGTGACATTTGAAAATGCATTGTAATTGATTCTGCCTTTGGACTTTTTTTTGGAAGAACTATCTTTCTGGTGCTCGTACTTGCTGCTGGCCTCCCTATCAGGAGATGCCTTAGGAGTTATTTGTTAATGATCCTATGTGTAAGCTTCTGAAAACCATAGCAGAGTGCTTATTCTTTACTGGATTAGTGGGGATAATGCTTGCCTGAACTTCCAAGATGAAGAAAGGATCACATGATCAGAGACTTAGTGGATTTGTTGAAAGTGAATTGTTATCTCAAGATTCTGAAGGCTTAAGAAATGTCATCAGGTGGCAAAACCTCTGCTTTTTCACTTACGGTAGTGGGCTTTTTGGTATACTGACTTCTTAAAGTTAGTCTTTTCTGTTGTGTAGAGTAGGCTACTTTGCTAGCTGTTGCCTGTGGTTTTGGGTGGATCCAGAAGGACAGGTAAGATTATACACAACTCTTGGGTTATGTGGTATCAGCTATTTGGGTTTTTCATAGCTCTTGCATATATCCTGAATAGCAGAAGTCTTGTAAAGGTGGCAGGTTATCTAGGTCCATCCAGCTTGCTGTACCTTAATTTCTGGAGACAGTAGTTATATAGTTGCAAAACCTGAATATCAGAAAACTGTTATGATGTATAAGGTAGCCAAACATGCCACCTTTTTAATAGACTACATGTTACGTGTAGCGTGGCTTTTATGTCACTGTTAAATGACAGAACTCTTTCTGAAATTCATTTTGGTCTTTGATACTGTGCTCAAGGACTTGCATTAGTAAACTTGAAAGTGTAGAGAACAGAACAAGAAATTACATGGTCTCACTTTCTCAGTAGCTAGAATATAGCTAGAGTATACGTCTACTGTAAGGTAAACTAGCTGTGGAGGGTCAATGTCCTTGTATCTTGGTTTTCTTATCCTGAGGGCATCAACTAGTATAACATGCCAGAAAACTAAGAGGTTTTAGAAGCAGCAGGTAAGACTGAATGCCACCCAGAGTCCAGTGAGATGCTCTTAGTGGCAGCTCTGGACTACGCAAGTAGCCTAGGGAGTTCTGGCATTCCTCGTAGACCATGAGTGTGTTCTGTAAATAGCTGCTAGAAATGATCTAAATCTACTTGGCCTGCCTTAAACAGGGGATGAATTACCTCATGGCTTTTCCAGTGGCTTTTGAAAACTTTTTCTCACTTATTTTCCATACTGTCTTACTTGCGTGTGTTGGGAAGTGTGAGAAGAAGAGAGGAATGAAAATGATTTGACTATTATGGTCTCCACCCCATTTAGAAGTAGTGCCCCTCCTTACCGCCAGAGCATGAGAGACTGAAAAGTCCTTGATCAGGGTAAGCACTACTGAGCAAAAGCTAAAACATCGGTGTGTTATCAGCATTGTTCTCAGACCAAACCCAAAGCACAGCACTGCACCAGCTACTGGGAAGGAGAATAACTGTTATAGCTGAACCCAGGACAAGTAGTTATGTAAATATTTAGCTGGCATACTAAAATGTTTTTTTCCAATTGGTTTAAACTCTGTAGCTGACAACTGTGCTGTCTGTTTCAGTTCCGTAAAATACTCTAAGATCAAATGAGGCTTCTCCTTGACTGGCGTTCAGATATGATCATGAAACTTGGCATGCATTTGTTGGTGATTATTCTGGACAGATCACTCTCCTGAAGCTTGAGCAGAATACATGCTCAGTTATCACAACACTCAAAGGGCATGAAGGTAAAGTAACTCCTCCTCTTAATTCCACTTGACCCAGATTATAGTACCTCTTTGTAAATTGCGATTATGAAGTTTGATGTCTACCTTGTAAGGATAGACATTGGGTAAACAACTAGTGCAGGGTAGTAGTTATCAGAAGCTGTTCAGAGCTGTACATACAACTTCTTTAAGAACAGACACGTTCTTGTGAGGGGAAATCTTAGCCTTGTAAATACTGTAAATACTGATGAAAAATAAACATATGCATTCAATTAAACACAAGTTATCCACTAGATGGCCACCTTTAAAAACTTTAGTCTCCCTAACATTGAAAAGAAAGGATGAGAATTTGGGGTTTTTTTGTTTGTTTTTTTTTTTTTTTTCCTGGAGACTTTCTAGTTGTATAATAATACCTAGCAACTCCCAATATAGCTTCTAAAAAGCCACTTAATTCTTGCCAATACAGACTTTGCTGTTCTGATCAGTCTTCATGAGACTTTAGTTTAGTTTTCTATGTTTAGCTGAAACTAAGCTATGTGCAAGAAATCTAGAGAACTTTCTAGGATCAGAACTGTCTAGTGAAAGACAGATGTCTCATCCTGTAGTATAGTCCTTATATCAAATGAAGAACTAAACAAAATAGTCTGTAACATGATATGGAGCCACTGTCTGATGTAAGGCAAGAATGCAAATCGCAGACAAATGTGTAATTTAATAATATGACGAGAGAAGTAAACAAGAGTTAATGCCTCTTCCCATGTGGTACTGGCAACTTTCAAATCAGCTGACTAGTTTGCATTTGGGTAGGGGTGAATTACTCAGAATCATGAGTCTCATCCACTGGAAAAGGCTGCCTTGTTTAATAGCTGTAAGTATAGAGTAGACTTTGTTAAAGCTGAGAAGGCTCCTGATTTACAGATGACTGTAAAATTATCATGCTGGTTTTGAACGCAGGAGACAAGCCGAGATTTTCAAGTGATAAATGCCTCTTCTGCTTTCAGCCAGAATTTCAGATTGTTTCAGTTAAGAGCAAAATAATTCTTTTGGCCCTTTACCTCTGTATGCTTTTGCACTAGTCGGTTCCAATGCAACTCCTGGGTAGTTATTGTGTCAGTCTGAAAGCAGTATGTCTCAACATGGCACTACATATAGTGCAGATTCTGTCTACTGCTTCTAAGCACCAGCTCCCGCGGTGCTGTCCATGTAGCAGACAACTTTGTCTTATCCCTAAGGGGATTGTGATCCTCAAAACAAGAATTGATCTAGTATAAAAGATTATTAAATTTGAGGGGCAGAAACAGGTTTTCCTTCAATTCATGTAATAGCAGCTACTTTTTTTCCTCCACAGTATTTGTGTAATATTCTCAAGGCCTGTTAACTCTAAACTTAAATGGCATCTAGTTCTTCTCTGAGTGCAGCTTTGTTTGCCAGATTTCAAGACTGACTTAATTTTATTTCCTTTCTAGCTCTTGCCTTACTCTGACTTCATAAGCAAGCAGTGCTTGCTTTGCAGTTTAAATTTTTTTTAGAGCTTGTCCTTCATAGGTCAGCTTCCAGAATTCTCCATATTTAACTGCCTACTCTGTGCAATGCTGAGAGAATCCTCAAACCACCTTTTATGCTGCAGATGCTCAATGTGCTCTAATATAACTATTCCCCAATGAGTCAGTTTGAAAAAAGTGTAGTCCTAAAGGAGGCAAGAAAAATCTTTTGTTCCAGAGACCTGGAAAGGACTGATTTGGGCTGTAAATTACCATTCATCTTGCTTTCAGACTAATGAGTTTTTTATGAAAAAGCTGAGCAATGGAAGGATGCTTTAAAGTGAAGGATGTCTGTAAGGGAATAAAATGTGCTTTCAACTTCAAAACTGTAGGTGGCATGACTGACAAAATTACTTCTTTAGTCTCCTGTCTACATTACAATACGCATGTGTAGTTTAAGACTGCTACTGTAAGATGACTGATTACTGCCTGAATAAAGAAGTGCACAGCCAGGTTGGGCCTTCTGAAATCTAGTTTTGTAATATAGTACGTAGTGACCAGATTTGCCAGCGGCAGTGAAACTGTCACTTAGTTTCTTATTCCAACTATTTTAAGGTTATAAATAGTTATGTAAGGGAGTTGGTTTAGCTGTGAATACTGCATACTGTTCTGCAACTGCTGACCAAGCACCTTATTGCGTTGTAGATACTAATCCCTACTTGGCAAGTTTTAATACTTTTCACCTTACAAAGATCACATTAGCCTGCCAACTCTTAAAACCAACTACCTCAATACAAGGGGCAGAAAGATAGTAACTCAAACTTTCTGGCTTTTGATTTGAATCTGACTTTTTTCTTAGGAATGTTTTGTTCTGTTGTTAAATGCTCTTTGTCTCTCTAGAAGTATTGCATCTTGCTGTCTCATGGTGTCTTTTGCCAGGACTTTCAATCTCTGTTGCTGTAGTAAGGGAGTACCTCAGGTTTCACTTTAATGACCAGGAAGAGCATCACCGTGTTGGGGAGTGACTCCCTTAAATCTAACTGCAGAATGTTCTTTCCTAGGAAGTATTACTTCCCTGTGGTGGGATCCTGCTCAACGACTGCTCTTCTCAGGTGCCTCTGATCACAGCATTATCATGTGGGATATTGGTGGAAGGAAGGGACGAACACTGCTGCTTCAGGGTCATCAGTATGTAATGGAGTCTTATTTTTCCCTAACATAATGAACACAGAGTCCCGGGAAGAGTAAATAGCACAGCAAAATATTTGAATCTTTGAATAATGGAGAAAATAACTTTTTGCAGACCTCTGAGTGGGAAGAAAGATTATCAGTACTAGGAAAGTGTTACTGGTAAATCTTTAATTTTGCTCATGTTAGATACTTCTAAACCATGGGTAATAAGAACATAATGTAAAAATAGGTTATAGAAAGAGGTGGATGAAGAGTAAATAGCACAGCAAAATATTTGAATCTTTGAATAATGGAGAAAATAACTTTTTGCAGACCTCTGAGTGGGAAGAAAGATTATCAGTACTAGGAAAGTGTTACTGGTAAATCTTTAATTTTGCTCATGTTAGATACTTCTAAACCATGGGTAATAAGAACATAATGTAAAAATAGGTTATAGAAAGAGGTGGATAAAACTCCTAAATCATCTTGCTTGGACTTTATGTGGAAGTTGCACACTTCTATATTGTAAATACTTCACTGAGTTGCCTGTGAGGTTGGGGCTAGAAACTTAATGTATGTGCATGTTGATGTACCCACATAGAATGAACTTCAGTATTTTCCTGTTCCCTGTCATCTTCTATCAGTGAGGCGATAAACTGGCTAACTTATAGGGGTGGTCTCTCAACTTCAGAAAAGTATGTCACATCTCCACTGTTGTGTGGATTAAGTAGTTATCTTTATTTAATCAAGTCTTTATTTTTACAGAGTCACAACACTAGCTGCCATTTTTTAAATCTAGGGCCTTAATTCCATCTGACAGGCAGTTCACCACTGAAGACATAGAATCATAGAATGGTTTGGGTTGGAAAGGACCTTAAAATCATCTAGTTCCAACCCCCCTGCCGTGAGCAGGGACACCTCACACTAAGCCATGTCACCGAAGGCTCTGTCCAACCTGGCTTTGAACACTGCCAGGGATGGAGCATTCACAACTTCCTTGGGCAACCTATTCCAGTGCCTCATCACCCTCACTGTAAAGAACTTCTTCCTTATAGCTAATCTAAACTTCCCCTGTTTAAGTTTGAACTAAACTTATATGAACTAATATATTTTACTTTAGAAATGCACTGGTAAGTAGAGATCTTGTTTATGTTTAAAGATGTGTTTGTATAGTGCATTCTCCTCTTGTCTAATTCCGTAGATGCCTCCATCCACCTTTGATCAAGACTTATAGCCTTAGCCCTAGAACTCTTGTTAAATCTTGAGGATTTAGTTTTATGGCTAAAGAACTAATTAATAGAGTACTGGTTACAAAAAAGTAACTGAAGTCAGTGACTGGAGGACTTGATACTGCTGTTACTGCTGCATCATGTGTCCTGGTGAAGACTTGTAACACTTAGTTTCTCTTCAAACATCCCACTTAGCATCAAACTTCATACTGAATGGGAAAGTAAGTTCTTCTGAGAAGCAGAATGGGTTTTTTAATTCAACTTGGATATTGCAAAGCAGTCTAATACTGTTGAGATCCTTTGTTTAGTTTCTTAGGGTAGGCTGTTATTTTGCCATGACTTTATTTAGGATTAAATTGTCTTATTGGTGAATGCATGCTTTGCTTTGCAGCTACAGACTTAGTTACTGTGATTTATTAGCAAAAGTGGAAGCTCCATCTGCTTCCCAGCTGTATCTTGAAACAAATATTTCTCTTTATTTTTCCAGTTGTCTCTGTTTTGATAACTGGCTTTCCTTGCCAACACAGAAGAGTATCTGCGCACACACTCTGAGCCAGTTGACACTCAGCTCGCTGTCAATGCTTACTGCCAGCAAATGTTAATGTGGAACTGTACTTCTGGTCTTCTGGTCAAGCCTGTAAAAACACTGTTCTAGGCAGTGTCCTGATGCTAGGGTAGTGCTCAGGTGACAGCATCTGTTCACTTATCTTCTTAGCTCTACTTAGTAGACTTACCAAAGTGTTTGGAAATAATTTTTGGCTTCCTAGGTAGCTTTACAAGGATAAATCAGGGTTTGCTGGGAAACTAAGCTTTGTTTAAATACCTATGGGTAAATAGTGTCTACTTTGTTTGCAGTGACAAGGTGCAGGCTATCTGTTACCTACAGCTGACACGGCAGCTGGTATCTTGTTCAGCTGATGGGGGAATTGCTGTTTGGAACATGGATATTAGCCGAGAAGAGGTAAGATCATATCCAAGGTCAAAGATTTCTTTTTACTTTCTTTTTACTTTGTTTTTTTAACCCCTCCCACCCCCACCCTTTTCAGAGGCTGATGTGGCTTTCCTTAGTCAGTTCTACAGGCTGGTTTTCTCACGTTACCTGAGACTTTAAGGCTGAATGATACCATTAAAACCTGCTGTTGTAGTGTCTGTCCATGCAATTCAGAATGTAGAGATTCAGTCCCCACACAACATTTTTTAAAGACCTCAGTACACAGCAACCGATCCTGGCATGCAGATTCTTTCTTCATCAGTTCATATCCATCATAGAAGCTGAAAATATGTATATTTAGTACTATTTTTGTTAAACCATAATTACAGGGGTTAGTTTTGGTTGCTCCCATAAAGCAGTATTTAAGACTCAGCCTTCCTTGCTCTATTGCTATTCCTTAAATGAAAGTGTCATGATTAAGAACTATTTTCTTCTTCACCTTAAATGCACTGGATGCTGTATGTGATGCTTCTAACATTTTCAGCATGGTGAGCTCTCCTCAAAACTTCTGTAATATTATGAAACTTTGTAGTTGTAAGGAGTTGACTTGCAATAGAACTGGGAAAACAAGATGTGCCTGTTTCTCTTTTGAATCTGCACACAATAATTAAGGGATCTTGTAAATAATAGATAGTTTTAATACAATTAAAATAATATGGTTAGCTTAAAACGGCCATGATATCTCAGAACTCATTGGAAAAACATGATCAAGCCCAATCCAAAAGCAAAGAAACTAAATGTTTGAAGAATGATGAACATACTTCCTCTGAAGCACTAGCTAGTGAGTTATGTTACAGGGCATCTTCATGTATGCACAGAAGACCAGAAGACAGACTTTTGATTAGAAGGAATGGTAACTTTGCTGACAGTGTTACTGTGATCTCTAGCAGTTCAAACTATATGTTGGTAATGTTGGCAGATTTTTACTTCCTATTTTATGCCGAAATTAAGATGAAAAGAATAGGAAGATATCCTGGTTTTCTGTTAGAGGGAGCCAGAAAGTGGATTGTCTTCTCAAAAATGCTATTAAGTGAAAAATCTTATTGTAAGTAGCTGAAAGAAGCAATATGGAACATCTCACTTGGGGGAAAGGTGACTCATTTCCTCTACTCTCCTCCCCACCCCCCATGCTGGACTTGTTACTACCCTTTACAGTATTTTCCACTAGCATGGAGGAAGGAAGAGAATGCAATCAAAGTTGAAGATGTAGGAACTGGACATATGGTATTAGTAAATATTCATGGTGAGGTGGTGGTGCAGCTGACAATACTGTTGTTTTATTACTGTCAACAGTGGGTGTAAGTGAATTCAGGAGAAAAGCTCTGTTGTTCCAGCTTTCCTTCTGTGAGGGGAGTCTTTCTTTATTTGGCCTAGTCCATTTATGGCAGGAAAAATATGTTGGTGGGAGAAGGGATGCTTAATGAAGATGTGAGCAGGATGGAAAATGCAGATGAGTTCTCAATTATTTCAAACTGCAATCCTAGGGAAATAGAAAATATGTTTGCTTCCAGAATTTAGTTCTGGACCCCACCTCTTTGAGAGGATGACTGCCTCATATCTTCTACAGTTTGGATTACACTAGCCCTTAAAAATCATCTAGGCAGCTAGAGTAGCAGTCTTTGAATGCCTGCAGCAAATTTAATAACTTAGATGTTTGAATTAGGTTTCTTGCTAAGGCAGTAACATAACACACTGCTGTAGGCTTAAAAAATACAGGTGGTGTGTAGGTAACAAATAACTGTAGACTTGGTTTTGGCATCTTGACTTTTGTACTGAGCTTCCTATGTACTTTACTTTAGGCGATCTATTGTTGTGATGTCCAGAGCTGAGACAGGGCATCTTTCCAAGTAAAACTTTACTTTGGGTTCTTAAAATAGACTTCTTTGGCTGCTGTATGAGGAAAAATATTCTGATTGCTTGCATCTCTTGCTCTTTTGTAGGCTCCTCAATGGCTAGAAAGTGATTCCTGCCAGAAGTGTGAACAACCTTTCTTCTGGAATATAAAGCAAATGTGGGACACAAAGACATTAGGGTTGAGACAGGTGAGACTGCTGTTTCGAGTGCTTAGCTGTGTTTCAGCAGTTAAGCAAAATGCAAACATAAAACTATTAAAGCTGTTAGATCTTTAAAACGGTTGGTATTTTTGCTGCTTTGAAGTGAGGGTTTATTGAGAGATCATAGCTTCTAGGCAGTGCTAAGAAATTTCTGAATTCTGTGGAAAGTGTTAGATCAAACTTCTGTCATGGGGCTGAAGTTGAAGCAGGCTGTGTTGTCAGCACTCTGTTAGATTTCTCTGAATATATCTATGCACTGGAACTGTGGACAGCTGATCCTCAAGTGTTGTGTAAAGTGGCACACAATGCCCCATAGCTGAGCAAGCTGCAGCCTAACATTGTGGGGTACTCAGTTCAGTGAAGCAGTGATGGCCCTGTTCTTATGGGCTAGAATGTAAAAGTTTTCCAGATAGCTTTCTTTTTTGAGAGACTGGACAGGCACCAAGACACTCATCTGTTTCTGGCTTTCTTAGACTATTTTTTTCTTGGTTGTTTGTTCAACTCTTTTTATTCCCCTGCTCCCAGAAGGAGCTTGCAAAAAGAGAAGAGGATAGTCAGGGGCAATATGGAGGTAAATGCATTAATGGCCAAGAAGATTGCACGGAACTCTAGAGTCCTTAGTCTTTGACCCAACAGAAGACTTACTAACAGGTTGCTTTCTAACAAGTTGCAAACCAGAAGCTCTGTTGGTTTTGTTCAGTGAACACTTGGTAAGCAACACAATAATAGTGATTTGTTTGTTTTCCTCTGTGAAGCATCATTGCAGAAAATGTGGGCAAGCAGTGTGTGGCAAGTGCAGTACCAAACGGTCAAGTTACCCAATCATGGGATTTGAGTTCCAGGTCCGTGTCTGTGATTCCTGTTTTGAGTCAATCAAGGACGAAGAGTGAGTATTAAGGAATAATAAACTAAAGTAGTATTGCTGAGGTACAGAAACACTTGTGCTTGCTCCGTATCCACACCCAGTCCTACAGTCGGTGATTGTTGACGCTCTGCTTGCTAGGCCACCTTTTCCTTGGCACTCAAAGTACTACAATAACAGATATCCCTCAGCTGGCACTGCAAGCTGATTTGGATTAGATGTGGTGTTACAACTTTTTTATCTACTCTATTTCTTCTTTTCCATGAGCCCAGATCTGGAGCTGAAACATACTTGTATCAAGATTTCTGTTTAGGTAAAGGCTATTGATTGCACATGCATTAGTTCATGTATACTTACTGAAAACTGTTTCTATGGGGATATTCTTCACAGCCCAACATTATTTTCCCTGTGCAAGCAAATTGGGTTAAATGTTGTTTGCCGTCTCATTCAACTGTTCTTAGCAATGCAGGAACCCTGTTTTTATCTTGATAAGAACAGCACTTCACTGTCTTGACATCTCCCTGGACACCTGATGTGCTAAAGGACCAAAGTAATCAGATGCTAATTTTGGGGGTGTTTGGTTTTTTTGTTGTAGTGGTGGTTGTTGAGTTGGGGATTATTTTTTTTTTTTTTGGGTTGACTCACTATAGCCAGAGGAAAAACTGTAGCTGAGCTTGACGTAATAACCAAGAGCAGAATTGTTTACTAATGTGCTGTCCCACTTCTGCTCTAGTATTATTAACAGTCAGGTTGCAGAAGACTGTGAAATGTCACACCTTGTAAATACACAAGCAATGCCTTGGTATGACTTGCTGATTTAATTCTGTCCCCTTTAACATGGCACTGAGTTCTCAGGAGTGATTTATTAGTACTTGAGCAACTTTATTTTCTTATAAGTTTATTTTGCACTGCTATACTGATGCCATCAAGCTTCATCTGATGGCTGGCTTTCATTTGAATTGTTCTCATGCAGCCGTACTTCCTTGGCAACCTTTCATGAAGGAAAACACAACATTTCACACATGTCCATGGACATCTCCAGAGGGCTAATGGTGACTTGTGGGAGCGACCGGATTGTGAAGGTATTCATGTACTTCTTTCCTGCATTTATCAGAGATACTTAATAGAAGACTAATGTTTGTATATACCTTTTTCTTCCTGTCAACTGTTGCTACAAAGTTAAAACAAGGGCAGCAAGAATCCTATTTGTTGCAGGCTGTTCTTCCTGCAGCAGAGTGAGGAAGGCACCTGAAATGACTCCACTGTATGGAGTTTAGCTGTCAGAGCTGGAGTGTCCTCTGGACAAACAAAGCAGTAGGAGAATGGGCCAGCAGCCTTAAAGGCACAGACAGGATGAAACGTGTAGACTTCCTGAACACCGAGCTCCCTGGCTTCTTGGAGCATTGCAACTAAAAGCCTTGGTTATGAGACAGGGACATGGAAATCCACCTGATGTAGAATCTTGATGCACTTCAGCTATACATCCACCATGCACGTCAAACTGAGACTGTTCCAGTCCGCCCTGGTTTTGTGTAAGCCTGTTTGTGAGAAACTGCATAGCACTTTTAAAAACACACCTACAGAGAATTTCTAGAAGGCTCTCTTGAGCCCAAAGTTTGGCTTTTGGTTTGTAAGGGTGGTGTAACTCTTTGGCATTTTTCTCAAGTATTTGTTGCTTTGTCGCCAGGGAGGTCTCTTATGTTTGCTTTTGTGCCTCTTACAGAAATACCTCTTGGGTCTTTAATAATGCTGTGTAATTCTCTACAATATTTTCTTCCAGATCTGGGACATGACGCCAGTAGTTGGTTGCAGCCTTGCAACTGGCTTCTCTTCACGCTGATCTCATACATGACAGGGTTATGCACCTTATGTACAGCAATATGCACCGAACAGATGGAATTCTTCTTACGAATATTACCGCAAACACTGGTCGCTTGGTTCTTCTCCTGCTGCTGTTCCAGGATGGACAGTCGCCTTTGTAGAGCACGGCTTTTCTGTTGGGCTCACCAGGAATCTCCTTGGTGCGGAAGTGCAGTTTTGCAGCCTCTTGGACTAACTTAAAATGGCTACCTGCAATATGACCCTTTGATGAAAGGACCTGTTGTTTCTCAGTTTACATACGTAGTGTTAACAGTGTGCTGTCTCTGCTGATGTATCTTGTACAGATACCTTGTAGCTAAACCATTATCTGGGTAAAATGAGTGTAGTAAATGCAATTTGTGCAAATAGTAAAATAACTTATTCTCTCTTCCAAAAAGCAGTTCTGTAGAAATACTTTTGAGCAGTCACTGTCTAAACTGCCTCCAAAAGGTATGCTGGTTATTCCTATGGAAGGAGGAAAACTTCAAAGTGGCAGGTAACTTCTTTCAGATGAGATAGTTAGAGAACCTTTGATCACACAAGATTTCCTTTATTGGCTTTCTTGTAGTGTTTGTCTTCAAGTTCATTTACTAGTGAAATGACCTTTGTAGAACAGCTGTTCTGTTAGGTAGCTGGTGAGGCTTTGAACAATTCTAGGCTCTAGTATTTTAGCATAGCTAGTAAACTTCTCTAATTCTTATGAAAATGTGCAGCCCAGCTACTCTACTTGAAAGACAGGCCATTATTATGAGCCATATAATTTGAGAACTCTATAATGCTGTTAGAATGGGAAGCTAAGTAAATCTGCCTTGTCAAATGTAATGGCTAAGAAAAAATGGCCAGCTAAATTTTAGAGACTTTTTTTCCTGTGGAAAGGCTGATGTTTCTTTAATGGTAGGGAACTTGTCTCTGCTAAAGTGTGGCATAAATTCAGATACTGCCTTGATGTTGCTTAAAATGGATAAATACAGAGCAATAATTACTGAGGTACAGAACAACTGCTTCCCCCCCACCCCCGCACTTAAGTCTGTCAATCCCAAAATACCCATTGTTGATCGTTTCCTGTTTGAAAGCAGAGAAGTATGAAGAAGAGCTGGGAGGGTTTTGTGACTGCAGTTGTCACACAGAGGAAATAACTGTTGAGATATTGTCAGTAAATTGGTGTGTCAGTTGTGTGAATTTCCTACATTTGAACACTCCAAGGAGAATTTACTTTGAAACTTTGAAAGCTAAGGTAACTTGTCACAGAGTTTTAAGCTTGGAGCTGTTTAGATTTTTCTGGAAACAGAAGCATATGTGTGAGGACAAAAATTGTGGGTAGGTCAGCTGGCCTGGAATAGGTGGTGTTGCACAACTATCAAAGGTAATAGGCTCTTTCTGACAGAGGACTTAAAGGTTAGACTGTCTTTATTTACAGCAACTATCAAGTGGTGCTATGAGTGTTAGTGAGTTCAAGTCCTAGGTGTGTAACTTGACACTAATAACCTGCACTGGACCATGCTGTAGGCTGAAACAGATGAAGATCATGGTGTTGTTAGTATGTCATGATTCACTTGCATTTTAAGCCAAAAAGCTGATAGTCTCCAAAGGGCATTAGAATCTAGAATATGTTAGATACTGTTATTTTGAATCTGGCTTTGTCTGCCTTTCGATGGGCCTTCTTTGGAAGTTTGGCGAAGAGTCTTTTAATTTGCTAGGCTTATTGGGCCACTGAAGAATAAATAAATCCCTCTTCTGTGGGCATCCCAAAACTTGCCTTGCCCTCAATTTGGGATTGGAAATTTGTCACGCTGATTTGACTCATGCCTTGCTACATGCTGTATAGCTTAGTGGTTTTTGTAAAGGCTTATTTCTAAGCTATTGAGAGAAAATCAGCTTGTACTGGAAAAAAAGTTGCAGCTTTCTGCTCTGAAGACCTTCACCCTTGTAAATTAGAAAGGAAGCTGGGTGAATAAGCCTTGATAATGCTCTGCATTCACTTTCAGACTTCATATCTGGCTCTGGAAGAAAATAGAAGCCTCCTTCCTCACAGTGTGTAAGGCAGAACATAAGCTACATTGCTAGAAGTGTTTAAGATTCTACTCGGGTAGGCAAGGAGATCTAGGATCAAGAGTTAAGCTGGGAGGTTGATGTAGATGTGGGACAAATAGCATATTTTTCAAAGCGGATGTTCTGAAACTTACACCAATGATACTGAGGTGTAACTCCTTTGCAGCTAGCACTCCTGAGCTTCAGCTTTTTTAGTTCCGATTAGTCAACGTGCCCCCTGCTTTGCATGCAGCTCCCCCCTTCCCTGTGAATACTTCCTCTACTTCTTTGCATTACGGTTTTGCCACTAGATAATATATTCTCTACTACATATTGTTAAACCTAAGGAATCTATTTTCTATAATTGATATACTTAAAGATAGCGTCCGTTTAGATATAACAAGACAATTATGGCTGCTAAATCACTAGTCATTTAAGTATACTCTTGGTGTTGAATGAGTAATGCTTACAAACCACTAAAAAGATAGTGTTTTGTTTATAAACAACTATTTCAAAGGGGCACATATTCTGTCATGAATCTGAACATCAGCTCTAGTGTGCAATTACTGAGAAGGCTTAATTTTGAAGCATTACTAATCTTGCTTGTATAACCTCCTTCATTGGGGCAGGGAAGGGGAGCAAAGGGTACTAGTATGTGCTAATTCTTTACTAGTTGTATTCCTGTACCCTGCATAGTTAAGAGATGCTAGATAAATCTGTCCCTTGCTCCTTCTTGTCTGTTTTTTAAACTTTGATTACATGTATAATAAAATATTTCTTGATATTCACTTAGTCTATTTGGATGATCCATCTTTTCTTCCATTCCGCGAATGGACAATCCCCATTGTGTGCTCGGGCTCCTCCTTTACATGGCCCACATCCAAATTCTAGGTTGGAGGGAAAGCTTGTCATGTGTTGTATTTGGAGCTGAATGAGCTGCAGCAGTGGGGTTGAAGGCCCATGATGAACCAGTGAGCTGAGAGACAAACAACTGCTGTATGGTCCCAGCTAGGAATGTATAACCCTGTCCTATATCCTAGTTGCCAGTCCATATAGACCCCTTCTCTGGTTCATCTGGTTCCTCTTCAGAGGTCTGCAAAGGTTCTTACAACATAGAGTATCATAGGATCAACCCCTTTTCTGACATCCTTTGGATCTGTCTGAGATATTACAGAAATACTAATTTATGCTGGATGGGATGATCAGACTCTATAATATGATATATACAGAGGATATAAACTGCAGCCACAGGAGGTGGTTACACTTGTCTCATGATCGTTTCTCACAGAGCAAGGATGGGAACAAGCTGGGAAGCATCCTTAATCCTCACAGTTAGACACAGCCTTCACGGGCTCAAATACGGCACTGGCTGGCTTTTTAACACTTGGAATGCCTGAATATTAGCCAGATAATAATGTAGTGTAGCTCACTGCTCCCTTGGGAATTCAGGAGCAATAGAAGGAATCTGAAAGGGTTTTGCAAACTCCTTCCACGTGTGTAGGCTGGCTGAGTATCCTGTATGGTATATAATACTGTAATTTTACCTTTTTTAACAAGACACATTTCGTTTTGATCAGCTTACACTCCTCACCTTTTCTAAGGCAAAATACCCTGTTTTCTAGTTCCCACAAAAACTGACTGGAGACAATGAAGCTGTTACTGATCTGCAGTCAGGAAAGCCTGTTTAGATGTCTGTGTAGACCATCTTACAGAGTGTTTTAAAAAAGGCATATGAACTCTAGATTTAGTAAAATTTGAAAATGTTTGAGAACTGCAACTGGTGTCCTTGTGAAAGCACTAAAATACGTTGTGTTGGGTTTCTAAATGAGAATGTATAGTTGATCGCTTCTCACATTCCTTATGTCGTAAAACAGCTGTGTGGCAGGTCTTAGCGATGAGGGGGTTTTGATGTGGTGTTGTCTTTACTCTTCGGAGATGACTAGATGCAGGGAAGAGACAGGCTTTTATGTTGATCTGATTTACTACTGCATTACTTCAGAAGAAAAGTTCTCTAAAGCTCTGTCTCTGTAGACAAAGTGCTCAGTGCTGAATGACCTGGCTAACAGGTGGTCTACTAAATTCTTTTAGTATGTACAAACTAATAGTTGAACAGATTCAAAGACTGTTACTGGTTTTGTCACTTTGGCAGTGGAAGAAAGTATCAAAATATCAGTGATAAAATCTATACAATTTATTTTCCATAAAATTAAATATAAAATATCTTACCAAATAGTAAACCGAAATACATGGAGTAATTAGAAACTTTGCTTTCTGCTTCTGTAGCATGAGCCTTTTTCATCCCAACATACAGGCAGCACAGAGTTGCTGTTGCTAATTGCCTTCCAACTCACTTGTGTACCCAGGGTCTCTTACCAGTTTTACTATATAATCTGTGCTCACACAGAAGTTGAATCATATTCTTTGACTTAATCTCAATGTGTTACACTAATTTGGGTGGGATTGTCTTCAGAATATTTAGTATATTCATTCCCAAGTTGCCTTTTGTCACAAAGATATAATGAGTTGCCTTATATCTAACTGTTATGACTGAATTACTAAGCCATGTCAATTCTGTTTACAAAGGCCCTGGTGCACTATGAATCATGCTTTCTGTGAGACACCCAGAGGCGTATCTCTTAGCATTTATCCAGCTCAACCTATGATAAATTTATGTGGAAATACAGGTTGACTGTAGGAATTCCCATTTGTATTTTTGTGTTTTATATGTTTTTATATTTTTCCATTTTCCCTCTGAAATGCTTTATATTACCCCATTCTTCAGGAAGCCAGCTTGTAATAGCAGATGTTAGAGGTGCACGCTTTTCTCTCCTTTAACTTGTTCACAGGGAAAGACACAGAAGAGGGTTTAACTTGCTCCTAGCTTTGCCTCTATAGCTGTCAAATAAAGAAGATGCCACTACTCTCACTTTCTATAGTTTTTTTCCTTCTGAAGCCTGTTTTCCTTATGGTTTCAGCTGCTCTCAAAATCTATATGCATGTATCTGTCAACACTCTTAAGTTCTAATGAACTCAAGTGCACCCCTGTGTTGCTGATCAAGAACAAGCACTGCTTGCTAATACTTCTTGATGTTGTTGCTAAGCCACAGCTATCTTTCTGTTCTAGTACTGTGCTTTGTCTTTTCTCTGTTCTCATTCATTTCTCCTTCTTTGTCTCTTAGTTTATGGCTCCTTCTCCAGGTTTCCTCTGCAGCACCATGTCCATGTTGGAGTTTCAGTTCCTTGAAACAAGTGATAGCAGCTCTTGAAGCACAACTGAAATGCTTACCTGAGCTTCCTTCCTGGTCTGTAAGAGTGAGCTGGTCTTGCAGTGGCTGAATTAAGGATGACTGAGACAACAGATGTGGAAG